AGAGAGAGAGGCAGAGGGAGAAGCAGGCTCCCAAGGAGCAGGGAGCCCGATGCGGGACTCGATCCCAGGACGCTGGGATCATGACCTGAGCCGAAGGCAGACGCTTAACCATCTGAGCCACCCAGGCGCCCTGGCTACTTCTTATTCTTACTATTTAATTTTTGTATTTGCTTATTTTCATCTGTTAGAATCTATGGTATTATGTTATTAGGATTTTAATGAAAACATTCTAAATTATCTATGCTTAACATCTGTCCCCAAACAAACAAAAACAAAAACCCTAAGTAATGCGTTGGTGTTGATAAGTATAGTGCAAATTAACAACCTAGTGAAATAATGAGACTTATATTAAAATAACAATGAACTTTTAGGATGTTTACCTTTCAAAACACTTTCTTACTTGGAAGAATTGGTTTATGGGTCATTTTTGTCACCATAGTTCCAAATTCATGGGCAACACAATAATACATAGGTAATTCTAATCTGTCTCAAATTGACTGCCAAAAGGACTAAAAAATAGACCATGTAATACTTATGGATGATTTAAAATCATCAATTGTTCAAGATCTTAAGAAGTTTATAAGTCTCTGAAAAATTAATAGACATTGTATTCCTCCTATTCCTTTTCTTTCCTAAGGTTTTGGGGTCAAATCTCCTATCAACCAAAGAAGAGTTCATGAAACTACGTCAGGTCCTCAGACACCTGAGACCCGCGTGCACAGGCACTGATGACATGTGTTTGCTCAGAACCACGGCAGCTCTGTGGGACAAATGGTTGAGTTTGCTGGAGGCTGCTAAAGAGTGGGAGATATGGTGTGAAGAACTGAAGTGGGAGTGGAAATTTGTCAGTGAAGAAGTAAGTGCTTCGTTTTCAACAATCAATCCAGTTTCCTGGCAAATGTCATTTAAATTGTTTTGTTACTTTCATTTTGTTCTTACATAAAACAAGTCCTCAACTGCTACCGTTTCTTTATATCATATATACGTAACACATAAATGTTACAGAGGTCAGGTCCAAGTAAAATAATCCCCAAGAAATGATTCAAATTCTTCCTTAATATAAGTGCTGTTTTTTTGGTATCAGGTAGTACTTATAAGTAAGTACTTGCTCATTTGGGCTTTAAAATCTTTATTGTGTATCTAAGTTAATCCCTCTTAAAATGACTGTCTCTGCATAACACTAAAGGTTAGAATTAAATAATATTCATAATAACCAGCCAATTTTGAAGTTAACTACAATGGTTAACTATGGAAATTAACTCCAATTAATTAACTATGGACTTAAAAATATGTATGTTGCTCTTTCTGAAAACTCTTAAAGAAAACCTCCATAATATGTATCAATCACAGATGTTAATTTAAGCATGATTCTGGATTTAAGCCATCACATATATTTAGAAAGAAAATTTAAAATAGTATAGTTATCTTAGGGTATCTTTCCAAAGGATCAGGTATAAATGAAGTACAAATCAGAACATTAAATGAAAACCCTTCTCTCTTGTTCATGCCAAAATTGCTGCTAAATTTACTTACGAGAGAAATACAATGAATCAATACTTGATTGGGGGTAGGTCACACTTTGGGATGTAAATGTTTAGCACTAGCATACTTTTCTGCTTAAAACTTGGTATTCTTGCTTTTTGCCCCATTGCATCCAAGAGAGCGAGATGGGTCACCAACATCTCTACTGGAGCCATTGGAGAAAACTCGGCCGGGGTTCTCATTCTTGCCATGTCTGCTCAAACCAGCATGGTCTGATCTGGAAACGATGGCCTCAGTATGTGCCTCCAGTGTTTCCATCAGTACTGGGAGGATACAGGTTTCATTAAGTTGGATTAAGTGAACTTCCTTGAATGGGTCATCTAAGATACCTCCCTTACTGCAGATACCCAAGATACCTACCTTAATGCTACATAAAATACATAAAATATTTGTACATAAAATGAAAATACTTCACTTAAGAAAAGCAACTTGATATTCTTGAAAATGAATATTATTTTGGTTGTGCTAGTAGGGTTTGATTAGTAAATAGACTCTTGAATGTTAAAACTTGGAGAAACTTTGTAAGTTACTGCTGTTGGCCCCCTTCTTTCCCATTCGTGTTGTAACAGTTTATTGGGTTCCTGCAGTAGGCCGTGTGCTCCTAAGAAGGCAGTTCACACATGGTGCCACCAAGTCCTTGCATTGCTGTCAGGAGTTAAATATTATTACCATTTTATTGATGGGGATACTGAGGCACTGAGAGATTTCTGTTGGCACAAGACCTCCCAGCTAGTGATTGAGCTGGGACTGTGGACTGGGGCCACATCTGTTTTGCTCACTGCTGTAACTTTAGAATCTGACTGGGGCCTTGTGCCTAGTGGGCAGTTAGTGAATATTTCTTGAGAAACAGCTCTTCTTGAAACCCAGGTCTAGGCTAATTCTCAGCTTTTGTTCTCTCTATTTTACTACATTGTCTTTCTATTTGCAATTATACCTGATTAATTCAGACCCCATTCATTTAGAACTTTGTAATTATTCATAGAAGTATTTGACAATATCTGGTGACAGTGTGTTTTTAAAAGAGTAGCACAAACAAAATATGTGCTTGTGTAATAACAATAACAACTGTAACACTTAGTGGGCGGGAATGGAGCATGTGTTGGGCAGAATTCTAAGCACTTTATATGTATTATCATTTATTCTCACAAGAGTCCTATGAGCTGGATATTTTTATTTTATCCTCATTTTGTAGATGAAGAAAGTGAGACACAGTGAGATTGAATAACTTGCCCAAATGCCCGAGTGGTAGAAGAGTCAAACTTATGCTCTGATGTTTTTAAGGATGAAACTATCAACTTAAATGATATTTACACACACCGAATTGATGTAGGATTTTAAAATAGCTTGTATCCATTTACTAAAAATGATACCATCTAAACACCTGTACATGCAAGATCCTGTTAGCATGGTTGGTACTTTGTGACAAAATGAATTTCTTTTTTTAAGATGTGGATAATAATATAATAATCCAGTATCTTTGTGGGATAAAGGTTTTGTGTAAGTAGATTTTCAGAAACTTAAATGTTATGTTTAAATTTGTAACTTAAAATACCAATTGAAATTTTGATTTGCCTTTTTCCGCCCCCCCCCCCGCCAAAATTTTACCTTCCTGTTTTCTTAAACAGAATCTGCTTGGTTTAATTATTCATCTCTGGTTATTCAGAGTCATCATTTTTGTTTCAGTGATCATATGGGCTGGAATAAAGTCATGCTTTCAAAGATAATTGGAGGTATACGGCGGGCTTCTTCCCCATGTACCAAAGTCCAAAAGACTTTTATTAGTTCCTGATTCTGCTGGTTATGGGTTTTTCAGTCTCCTTCACTCTGTTTACTTATGGTGCAACTATGGCTCCTTCTCCCTTTCTAGACTCTATAATTGACTGTGAACCTAAAAGTTTTATAACCATATTATTAGAATTCTGTGTCCAAGGGAAATCATTCAGGGGCTTCAGAGCTTCTTCTAGATGGAAGAGTGAATGCATAATTTTTGTAGCAACTATTTTACTGATTTGGGAGCTGTCTTCATCCTTTTTAGCATAAAGTTTGTTGAGTTTTGATGAACACAGTCACATGATCACCAATGAATCTAAATGAAGATTTAGAACATTTTCATCACCCCAAAAAGTTCTCTTGTGCCCCTCTGTAATCAGCCCCTTCTATCACCTCCAGCCCCTGACAACCATTAATCTGGCTTGCCATTTCCAGAATATCATATAAATGGACTGGAGTAGTTTGTGCCTTTTGAGTCTGGCATCTTTTCACTAAGCATTATGCATGAGATGCATACATATTGCTGTTTGTATCAGTAGTTCATTTCTCTTAATTCCTGAGTAATACTGGACTGGGTTTGATTATCTGTCACAAGTTGAAGTATTATCTGGCTTTTGAGTAAAATTGTCCTAATAAAAATTATTCCCCCCTCCCTCCTTGTGTGCCCCTCCTTAATCACTTACCAACTTACATCAGACAGCAGAGGCTGAAATGGGGCTCGTAGGCAGGTGGTTTATTTTGGAAAGTGATCTCAGGGAACAGGGGTGGAGGATGAGGAGAACTGGAATGAGAAAGGTCAGAACCTTTCGTTGCTTTACTCTTCTTGCGTTGTCATTGCTGGGGTGGCTCTTTTATGGTTATCACTGGCATGGAAGCACCAAGAGATGCTCCATTAAGTTCTGGGTTACAGACATACTTCTTTCAACTCTGATGTCTATTAGAAACCCTAGGTGTACAATTATCTCTGACAATACAGCAGTTCCTTTCTTTGCTTGCTGGTTCTCTGGCAGGGAAGTTGCAAAACAACCCGGTGGAACCCTCTTATCTCATTCCCTGGTGGAAATGTAGCTGCCTGCCTAAGAACTAGCACTTCTAATCCAACTGAATTTAGGTTTGAGGTGGTTGAAAGCATACATTCTGTAACTAGGTCTTTTCGAGAGGGGCCATCTATACATATATCCATGTATTCTAGTGACTGGGGACTCAGTTGGATCATATGGCCCAAGTGGGAGGGCAGCTTATACCATTGCGTGACCTGCTGCAGACCTCCCTCAACACTGGCAGCATTCTGATAAATGGGTCTGAGCGATATTCTCAAGGATAGCATATACTGCCTCCAAAATCCCAATGGACACATCCAGTGCTGGGCCTCTTTCTTAAAGGTAGAGGTACAGGATTGAACAACTTGATCTTTATGTTATGGAATTCTGGCACGCCCTAGACCACTGAGCTCCTGGAAACTTAATTTATGCTGGAATTCCTAAATTTTCATAGGCTTTATTTTTTACACTTTGGCATCCAGGTTTTCATTTATCATTTCAATTAGCGTTGAATAAATGTAGTTGCCTGGTGTGATATTCTGTAATGTCAAGATTGCTAGATGCCTGACTCAGTTTGAACATTAGAGCAGGAGAGTTGACAGGGTTAGGGCAGAATGTGGTAAATGTATGATGCAGCTAAGGTGAGGGCTACGGTGTTTGAGGAGGTGCATTAGAGGGATCTGATTTTCTGTGTCTTCGTTCTGGGGTCAAGGATGATAGAACTCCATTTTGCTGATATGCGATGTTATGTATTTCTGGGTTCTGCACATTGCCATGTTGACAAATACATGATTAGTTAGGACTGCTTTCCTCTGGGTGTAGGTGTTAGGGTAACAAGGAAGTACCGGACTTACTTGTTTGAGCATAGAGGAATAGGATGTGAAAGAAAAGACCCCTGTAGAAAAATTACCCAGCAGTTGCCCAACCTTTTATATAGTAGTTGCAGTTTGGTGGAGCTCATTCTAACTGGCTTATAGATACCTCAAGAGAAATAACTGCTTTCTGCAACTGAAATCTGAAGGAGAGAGAAATTATTTATGAAAATATTCAACAGTGTTTCCTTCAGCTCACGACAGCAATACTTCATTTTAATCTCATATCTGCATGATCAATGGCTGGGAACTCTGGGATTCCAATAGTGCTGGAATAATATTCCCAGTTAGAGGAAGACAGATACCACTTTGAGCGAGGATATGGCATTAGGAACCCTTTGAACAGCCATTATACAAAAATTATGATGGCCAAGGTATATTTCAGCTCCTTAAATGGTCCGAGTACATTTTAGTTATTTCAGTTCTCTTTTTTTTGTTTGTTGAATTAGATTGAACGGGAAGCAATTATTTTAGATAATCTTCAAGAGGATCTCCCTGAAATTTCAAAAACAAAAGAGGCGGCTGCTACAGAAGAGCTTTGTGAGCTGCAAGACTCTTTATGCCGTTACCAAGAAAATGTGGAGAAGCAGCAGCTGTTACTGACCTTACTTCTTCAGCGCATGAGAAGTATCCAGAATGCTCCCCAAAGCTTAGAGGCTATAAAGACGATTCCAGCATTTCAAGAGATTATATCGATGCAGGAACGATGCAACAAGTAAGACTTATGAAAAACTGTTTAGGAAACGTGCCTGACAATTCAGGCTTAAAATTTAGAAAATACTGGATTTTGAAAATATAAAAATATAGCATAAAGACAAATGATATGATAGATTTGGGTTAACGCAGAAAAGTATAAAAAGGGTTGGAATGGTACATACCCTGTGGAAGACAGTATGGAGGTTCCTCACAAGATTAAAAATAGAAATACCATATGCTCCAAGAATCCCACTATTGGGTATTTGCCCAGGGAAAATGAAAACGTTACCTCGAAAGATACATGCACCCCTATGTTTATCGCAGTATTATTTACAGTAGTCAAGACATGGAAGCAACCAAAGTGTCCATCAATAGACAAAAGGATAAGGAAAATATGGTATATGTACCCAATGAAATACTACACAGCCATAGAAAAGGATAAGATCATGCCACTTGAGACCAACATGAATGGACCTAGAGGGTATTATACTAAGTGAAATAAGTCAATCTGAGAAAGACAAATACCATATGACTTCACTCATAAACTGGATCTAAAAAAAAAAAGAATAAACAAACAGAATAAACAAAGCAGAACTGGAAGGGAGGGAGGGAGGTGGATGGGCAAAATGGGTGAAGGGGAGTGGGAGATATAGGCCTTTAGTTACGGACTAAGTCGGAATAAAAAGCAGATCATAAGGAATACAGTCAATTTAATAGCGATGTAATGGGACAGATAGTGGCTATGCTTGTGGTGAGTATAGAATAATGTATAAACCTGTCCAATCACTACATTGTACACCAGAAACAAATGTAGCGTTGTGTGTCAACTATACTCAAGAAAAGCGGGGGTGGGGGATGGAAGAGATTAATAACAATAAAAACAAGCATATGTTCTCCATCCTGGTATCATTGAGGATGAATATCCTTTGAATTTTTTTCTTAATGTTTGCTGTTTTTCTATTCTAGTAATATATATTCACTATAGGAAGTTTAGGGAATGTGGAAAATTATAAAGATTAATATAAACCCCCCTTTAATTTTACCATTCAACAATAATCACTGCCAATCACTCATCTTTTTTCCTATGATTGTATTTTTTTTTTAAAGATTTTATTTATTTAATCGACAGAGAGAGATAGTGAGAGAGGTAACACAAGCAGGGAGAGGGAGTGGGAGAGGGAGAAGCAGGCTTCCCGCTGAGCAGGGAGCCTGATGCGGGGCTCGATCCCAGGACCCTGGGATCATGACCCGAGCCGAAGGCAGTTGCTTAACCAACTGAGCCACCCAGGTGCCCCCATGATTGTATTTTTAAACAAATTATGATCATAATACTATACTGTTTTGTTGTCTGCTAAATGATTTATCAGCATATCATGTTACCTATGCCATTAAATGTTCCTTAAAACATAACTATGTAATATTTCACATGTGAATATGCCATAATTTATTTAACCAAAGCCCTAATATAGAACTTTTAAATTATACATAATTTTTTTTTTTTACTTTTGTAAAAACACTGTAGTGAATATTCTTATGCTAGAATCTCTGTCTGCGTCTGTGATTAATTCTTCAAGAAAGACGCCAAGAAGTAGAATGATTGGGTCAAAGGATATAATGTATTTACGGCTAGATATACTTACCAAATAACTCTCAGGAAAGATTGTACCCTCTTAAACTTCTCCACTAATAAGGTGGCTACATCCACAGCAAATGGGGTCGGTTGAGATAAAAAGGCGAATGGGGTCATCTATCCCCAAAAGCCCACCCGTGACTCCATTCTCACCTCTAGGTCATATTCAGTTGAACTTGAGGATCACATGGAGAAAGTAGGATGGAGAGAGCAATTGGAATGTAAAGTGTGAAAAGAGGATTTTTTTTTTATTCTTATGTTAATCCTCATACATTACATCATTAGTTTTAGATGTAGTGTTCCATGATTCATTGTTTGTGCATAACACCCTGTGCTCCATGCAGAATGTGCCCTCCTCAATACCCACCACCAGGCTAACCCATCCTCCCACCCCCCTCCCCTCTAGAACCCTGTTTGTTTTTCAGAGTCCATCGTCTCTCATGGTTCGTCTACCCCTCCGATTTCCCCCGCTTCATTCTTGCCCTCCTGCTACCTTCTTCTTCTTCTTGAAAAGAGGATATTTTGAGATGGAAGTTTAGAGAGGTTTTTGATTGAGTGATAGAATTTGGTATATGTTTGTGTATGTAGTAAATAAATCATTGAAAACTGGTACTTTTTGCTCAGGAAAAAATATCTTTTGTGAATTATGCAGACATTGTGTTAATTGTTGAAATAAAACTATCTCACAAGAGAGCAGGATAGAGACACTATTTTGATGTTGTATGTTAGGCTTTTTCAGAAAGCTCAAGAAAATAAGGAATTGTTGGAGAATGAAATCCAAGAAAGACATTCTTTCACAAAAGAAATAATTACTTTGAAGAATTTATTTCAACAGACTGCAACTTCTTTTCAAAATATGGAATTACAAGACCACCCAGAAAAGGCAGAACAGTTTGAGGTAAGTGAGGAATGAAGTGAGGAACCAGTGAATGTGGCCGACAAAGGTCTGCAGTCTTGAATCCAAAGTCCTTGGGGCAGAGGTAACTTTGTGACTAGAGTGGAGGGAGTGGTCCAGGAGAGAGGAAAGCACATGCAAAGGCCCTGTGGCATGGTATGGGCCAAGCCATAAGAGATCACTGTGGCTAGAGTGCAGAGAATAAAGTTGAGAGCAGGGAGGTAGGCCAGGCTGGACCCAGCAGTCCTTTTTCAGTGGCTTTTCAGGTGTGTTTGGTGAACAGGGGCCCCAGAGCATTATTGAGTAGGGTGTTAAGACTACTGACTTTAGTAGGATGTATGATTTATCTCTGATAGGGGTGCAACTGTTTTTACTCCCAACACTTCTGACACCAAATGTGTGGGGGTTTTCCCCCAAGTCTCTCGAAGCCAACTAGGTGTCCTACAATTCAGTTCAACAGTAACACTAACTAGCAGGAGTTAGCACAGACCACACAGATTAAGGGCTCACTCCCGCAAGACCACCCTCATTTCAGAAGCCAGTCACAAGTCCTGGGCCTCCTGTAATTCTGACTGACTCGCTATCGATCAGGGGTTCCCATGACCCCCTCCTCAGGTTTAATAATTTACTAGAACGGCTTATAGAAGTCAGGAAAGCACTTTACTATTACTGGTAAAGGATACAACTGGGAATCAGCCAATAAAAGAGATGCATGGAGCAAGGTAAGTGGGTAGTCCAGGTCCTCTCTGGGTGTACCACTCTCCCAGCACCAACTCCAGATTCTCCATACCTCACTGATCAGGGGTTTTTATGGTAGTTCCATTATGGAGGCATGATTGGTTAAATCATTGGCCGTTGATAATTAACTCAACTTCAGCGCTTCGCCCCACCCTAGAGGTTGGGAATTGGGGCTGAAAGTTCCAACCCTCTAATCACATGATTGGTTCCTCTGGCAACCAGGCCCCATCCTGAATCTCTCTAGAGGCGCCCCAAGAGTTATTCATTAGCATAAACTCAGGTGTGGTTGAAAAGGGCTTGTTATAACAAAAGACACTCCTCTTACTCCTATCCAGGAAATTCCAAGGGTCTTAGAAGCTGTTCAGGAGCCAGGGATGACAACCAAATATATCTCTTAAATCGCACTATCACAAGGGCTGTGCACATCCTCCTGTGTTATTTGGGACCTCATTTTTTAAGAATGATTCCGGCCCAATGGTAACAAGCAAAATCGGCAATTGGAAGTTTACTCCCGAGTCACGCGCTGTTGTTAATCAGAGCTCAGTGTTGATAGAGGGAACTTACTCTCCCTCACCATGGGGAAGTTATCTGTGTGTAGCTCTGAATGAAGACCTATACTCTGACTAGGTCTAGATAAAACAGGATGGCACTGTACTTCAAACTCCACCTTTGTCTGCATGGCATTGTTCTCTAACTTTCCATCTCTAGATTTGTTTTCGCTGAGGGTTAAGAAAAAGAAAACAGTGGCACATCATGGAGTCATTCAAATTGTAATCATTCTTCAGTGCGGTGACTCAACCCATTAGCACGAATAATGCTACTGAACAGCTACTGTAAAAACAAAACAAACCCCAAAAAACCACAGTAAAGTCAAGAAGTATTTTTCCACTTGATCTTTGGGAAACTTTCCCAAACAAATGAGTTTCTCCTTTATAATTAGTGCAGGAGAACGTAGATCAGATTTTGTTTCTAGGCCACAGCCAATAGACTATTTGTTCAGGTTTCTTTTATCTCCTAAAACCCACATTCTTTGCAGGGAACTGGAACCCTCCCTTTTGAAAGAAGTCGGCTCTGCTGGGCTGTCTAATTACATGAAAGCAGACACTTGCGCTTCGAGCCTAGGGCTTTTAGTGGCCTTGAATCATTGTGATGATAATGTAGGAAGAAGCAGAAATGGCAACAAGTTAATAACAACAACAACAACAACAAAACTTCTTTGAAACTTTTTTGCTACTTGGAGCTTTTTAGATCAAGACTTGCAACAGAGATAGTTAAATCCTAGAGGTACTTTAGAAGCAGGAGATGTTGTAATGTCTTTTGAGGACAATGGTTTGACACTATGAAGAGGTATCAAGTTTAATTCTTACACACTAGGAAGCATCATCTGACCAAACTGAGTATCTCTCGGGCCTTAATCGGCTTGTATCAGTAGTGAGGCTTTGTCATGCAAAGTGTGCTCATTTAAATCATAAGGATGTGCTGGAAAGCTGCTTTCACTTTTAGAGTTAAACTTTTTCCCCTTTCTGTGCCTATTTGAAACTCTCTTGATGATTTTAGGAGCTTCAAAGCATTTTTAAGAAAGGGAAGCTAACTTTTGAGAATATTATGGAAAAACTACGAATCAAGTATTCTGAAATGTACACCCTAGTCCCTGCAGAGATTGACTCCCAGGTGGAAGAATGCAGAAAAGCTTTAGAAGACATAGATGAGAAGGTAATAATCCTTTGTATTAGTGTTATTATTTATGAGTTGAATGGGTATAAAGAAAAGATCATGTAATGTCACATTTTCATTTGCCCTGATTTCAGCTATGACTGTTTTTAGAGTTTAGATAAGTGATAATTTTGTGTATTGAATATGGAGGTAAAATTGCTCTAAATAAGTGACAGATAACAGAATTAGATAATGTGTTTATTTTTAGTTGTCAAGATGCTTAGCTTTTCTTCTCTTGCATTTAAAAGCAGAATTACAGATTAGCTTTTACTTGGCTTTTTTTTTTTTTAACTGGAGAATCACTTTAAAATATTGGACATGAATAATACTTTGCTTTAAAACTTACTGCCTGTGAATGTTTTGAAATTGCAACCAAGGACAGTAAGAATATAAATTTCACAACTCAGTAGGAATAGCATTTAACACACACTATCTTTTTGATGGTGGCAACACAGTTCTCACAGAACATACCTGAGCAAATCTTTTTCCCCGAATGGATGAATCTGAAGATTGGAAGAAAGAGTGGGAAATGTTTCATAGTACTGGAGACCCAGGAGTTTAGCAAGACAAATTTATTGGATTATAGAAAGGCAGCTTACATCCAACGGAACAAAATTCTATTTGGTCCAGAAGGACTTTTGTATTGCTTTCAGGGATCATTTCTATAGTTTGTATTGCTTTTTAAAATCTGGGGTACCTCTAACTTAATACAATAGATTTTAAATGCAAACAAACATACAAAAAATTGTATTTCAAACTCAGTTAACTTCTTTGACAGATTTCTTAGGAAAATCTGACCCATGAAAAAACATGTAGGCTCCTAATATATATTTCTAAGAAATTTTGTTGATTTAACACACAAAAACTGTTATGAGGTGCTTTCTCAAGAATCATGCACTATTGATTTTAAGACAATACTAAAGGTTTTGAGAGCAGCTAAATTTGTTTCCATGAATACTTCATGTGAAAATCGCTAACAAAGGGAATAATCAAAATCAATTTTAAATTTAGGGGTTGAAAGTTTCAGTGGTAACTTGTATGTTTGTAACAAATAGCAACTGATTTTTATTGTTAGATGTATCTGGAGGATCCAGGCAGACTCAGAACCATTTGGTGTAATTCGGAGGGCTGCTTACTTTTCCTAAATCATGGTCTCTCCTAATGTACCTAAATTATATGCTCTTCTGCCAAGAGAATAACTGCCCCAAGGATCAGAAAACTTCACTTTGTAGTAATTTGTTACATAGCAATAAAAAGCTGTTACAGCAATTTAAAAACTAACATAGGATTAATTTTTTTTTTCCTAAAAATCTCGACTGCGTTATGGTCTGTGGAATAAAAACATTTTATAAAAGTATCAACATCCTGAAATGTGAAAAAGAGCCTGGGATTCCAGAGTCTGGTGACTCAGGGCTTTTCAGGACAAGTTCAACTGCTGCCTTGATTCGTGACCTTAAGCGAGTCAATTAGCCTGTGTTTAGTTTCTGCATCTGTGTACTATCTGCACTGAAAGGTTTTAGTCTTTTTTTTTTTTTAATTTATTTATTCATAAGAGAGAGAGAGAGGGGCAGAGGGAGAAGCAGGCTCCCCGCTGAGCAGGGAGCCCGATGCGGGGCTCGATCCCAGGACCCTGGGATCATGACCCGAGCCGAAGGCAGTTGCTTAACCAACTGAGCCACCCAGGTGCCCCCATGATTGTATTTTTAAACAAATTATGATCATAATACTATACTGTTTTGTTGTCTGCTAAATGATTTATCAGCATATCATGTTACCTATGCCATTAAATGTTCCTTAAAACATAACTATGTAATATTTCACATGTGAATATGCCATAATTTATTTAACCAAAGCCCTAATATAGAACTTTTAAATTATACATAATTTTTTTTTTTTACTTTTGTAAAAACACTGTAGTGAATATTCTTATGCTAGAATCTCTGTCTGCGTCTGTGATTAATTCTTCAAGAAAGACGCCAAGAAGTAGAATGATTGGGTCAAAGGATATAATGTATTTACGGCTAGATATACTTACCAAATAACTCTCAGGAAAGATTGTACCCTCTTAAACTTCTCCACTAATAAGGTGGCTACATCCACAGCAAATGGGGTCGGTTGAGATAAAAAGGCGAATGGGGTCATCTATCCCCAAAAGCCCACCCGTGACTCCATTCTCACCTCTAGGTCATATTCAGTTGAACTTGAGGATCACATGGAGAAAGTAGGATGGAGAGAGCAATTGGAATGTAAAGTGTGAAAAGAGGATTTTTTTTTTATTCTTATGTTAATCC